ATTTTATTTTGTCGTTGTCTTTGTCGTTTGTTTACTAGCGCTTAGAACAGATTTGTATTTGCGCTTTATAAATAAATATTATTATTATTATTATTATTAAAGTAGCATGGAGAATAGTTTCAAGGCATTCATTCCTAACCTTGCAAAAATTTCTGAAAAAAACGCTCAGGCATACACTTTATTTGATACTAGTAAGCAATTAGTCCTTGAATCCGAATGGGCTAAGAGCCCATGAGGCCAAATGCTGAATGAGCTATTGACTCATAGGCCATGAGGGCGAGAGGACTCATATTGTTTCAGTCAAATCCAACTAGTCGGTCAAATATATATATATATGCAAACAAGTTTTTAAAATTAAAATTAAATTTAATGTTTTTGTTTTGAAAGCAAGCACTTTTTATTACTAGTTAGTCTCCCCCACAGCCGCTTTCAGTGTCGTCACGCAATGCTTTCTCCCCTGAGACACTGAAAGCGGCTCATGTGGGGGAGATTAGCTACTAGTAGGATATAACTTATAGCCTAGTAGTAGCTCATCCAATCAGAACACAGCATTGATGATAGTCCACTAGTTGGATTTGACTAGTTTTGTATGGATGAGAAAGACAATTATCTGGTTTGGTAATATTTTACATACCAAACTACATTTTTGACTGGATTACAGTATATCTAAAGTAGATCTGAATCATCCCATTTTTAATTAAGATGCTATGCATTAAAAGATTATTCCTTATAGCTGACAGTGTAAAGATGTATATTTTGATGTTGTAGTAGATCTTTCACCTATCAAGCCTGCATAAAAAATGTGTCTGTCTGGCTTCAACTTAAATAGTCTTTACCAATGGAAGACACAAGGGTTTTAAACAAGGCACTTCCAAAATGATTGCCACTCAGATAAAGCTGGCGAAATCTTGCAACTACATGTATGCGAGATAAGCATATGTCTGTATAAAAGATTTCCAGTCCACACCTAGTTAAATATTTAACTATGATACAAAAAAAAATGAACTGGCCACCAAAGGTAGCCCAGTAAAACAAATTTTATGAAATTACCCTCACAAACTGGTCTAGAATGCAGTTTTAACCAATCAGAATGCTGCATTTGACAGCATGTTATTTATAACTCCCACTCACCCTGTAACACATATTAGTTGTGTGCATGCATGAATTTAATTCATGGTCCCTACTTCCCTTAGTTACCATTACTTTGTCCCCAAAATTTAAACAAATACTAGTTTTACAATAACTTACAAATTTCTCACACGCTGATTGGTAATTTTTTATCATCAGTAATTTTGTCATCACATTGTCAAAGTAGTATGTGGATCGACACTACTTTGACAATGATGATGCAATTTATCATCAATAAGAGGACAGACACAAAAAACTGATGTCTATTTTTTAAATGGAATATCACAGAATTTAAAAAAATTCTGATTACGAAAAGAGTTCTATTTTAATTTTACTATTCTTTGATAGCGCAAGAAAAATTAACGTAGCAGTCCAAAAACAGATGTAGTATTAATTACACTGTGAAGAGAGCTGCTATATTGTAACTGGTTCACTATCCTGTGAGTCAGAACCATGAACTGTCTTGCTATTTAATATGAATTTATTCTAATTTATGATATTTAGTATACATACTGTTCAGGATACTTAATCTCAAAGGTATCTTCTCCGGGGATAGATGAGATGCTTATCGTTGAAATGCTCAAACAGCTGAGAGTTCTTGGGGTACTACTTACATCCAATACGTTGTCAAGTTTACTGTTAAATTCTCTTAACCTGTAACTTGCATCGTCAGCAATCTCTGTAAAGGTAACCTCTTTAAAATCTTTTTCTTCATTCACTTGATTCGGAGGTGATCTGTCTGATACGATGTCCTTCAGCATTTGGAAGGTGATGTCTTCTTTGGGTGTCAGTGGACGCAGACCGGTGGATGATGGGTGGGTGTCTAGTTCAGCACTAGAGACTGATGAAGCATTGATTTCAGGAGCTGAGCTTTGTGACAACATTTCGTTATAGGATTTGTGTTCATAGGAACCACGGATGTTCTTTAGGTTGGCGTCTGCCTTACGAAGGCTATCCTGCACCCTTGCAAGACTGAACATCAAGTGGTTTGAGAAGATTGTAGTGGAAAGCTGAATATTTTCAGCAGAGAAACCCTTCTCTGGTACTAAATAACTTGCTTCCTTCTCTCTAAAGTAAATTACTTCAGTTACATGGTTTCCAAGTGAGCTGAGTCTGAGGAGCTGTGCTGCAAGGTGGAGATGAGCTGCTGYCATAGCATGAATAGCACAACGAACCCCGCTTGAAAGGCGATATTCCTCTTTCTGAGCTGCATTCTGAAGTCCAAAGACTAGTAAAATTAACTGAGAAATGACTTCTGACTCACTCAACTCAGTACTCAGGATTGCAAGTGTGAGGTAAATACCAAATATATTGCTGACTTTGTTAGTTCTCATGCAAGCACTCTCATACAAATACCACAGGATTTTATCATCGTACTTCCTGAAGAACATCAAATCCTGCTTCGTACATTTCTCTGTTTTCAGCTCAATCTCTTGCCCACGTTTCAACATGCCATCGAGTCCCAGCTTGGGTAGGTTACCATGGCGATCAATTAATGTATAAATTACTTCCAGGGCTAGTCGTCGCACTTCTGGATCCTCAACAATAGTTGCCTGGAAAATTGCCTCAAAGAAGGAAGAAGAAAAGGCAGCAGATAGTGAAGTTGGGTTGAAGCTCTTTGAAACTTCAAGAAGGCTGTGCAGAAGCATTTTTTGCAGTGCTGTGTCACTCTCTGACAGTCTCATGACTGTGCGTGTGTCTGAATTACTAAGATCTTGCCCTTGTGTAGGGAATTTTCCCATGATAAACATCATGATGTCATTCTTCTGATAATCAGGTAAAATAGATGCAAATGCTCCAATAGTGCTGACCAAAGACTCTTCAAACACCTTTTCATCCTCATCACAAGAATTTGATACTTTGGAATCAAATCTAGCATCAACTGAGGACCTCAAATGACGAAGGAGTGTGTTAAATACCTCAAGAACTGCAGGTCCAATGGAAACTCCTGAGGCAAGTCGGACACAGGCTGACAAAACACTGACAATTCCTGTCTTCTTCTTTGCAGAATCTTTTGCACAGTGATCCAGATGATTTAACAGCATTTGAATAACCACATGGTTGTACTGGTTTTGTACAGAATACATAATTATCTTGAAAACTTGCAAAGCAAAATCACTAGGCTCCCATAACTCACTAACATCTAGGTGATGCAAGGACGGATTTATTACCGCCTTGATGTTGCCAAAACTTGCTCGACTCATTAGCTCTCTAAGGCATGATTCTGCTAGATGAGTAGGGTCTTCTTCGGAAGAGCTTGTGTATTCCCCACTTTCTTTCCTTGGACGCTGTTTCTGGCGTTCTTCTAATACAAACAACAGCGATGGCACAATCTTGGCCATGTGAGTATTATCCCAAAGATTGACTTGCAAATCATCACTAATTGTTTTCCTAACGACACCTTGGAGACCTTTCAACCCGGCTCTTCGTACTTTAAGGTTCTCTTCTTCATCTTTGCCGTTGTACCAGCACATTGAGCTGAATTTTGAGACGAAAAAATCATAACGGCGATGATACGAAGGAGTGTCTTCTTCGATATTAGCAAACTTTACGAATGACGCTGTACCCAACACTTGCAAGTCCACCTCAGGACATTCAATTAATTTTTGCACCATTCGCAAAAAACTTTCCACAAATAAGTTCAAATTAGGAGCATGGCATGCCATGAGTAAAAGATCTAAAGCCTCCATTGCAATTCTAACGAAATCATATCGTTTACGATCCACAAATCTTGTTAACTTTCTCGCCAAGTACGTTCCGATCCGATCCAATTTCTCCGGCGAAGAAAGCGCGTAAAATATAAGTTTGTCCATATTTGACTTCACCAGTCCACTCCGCGCATCAGCAGGAAAGATGTCGTCAACTAGACGTTTATACCGAGGTCTGAGGTTCCCAAAACAAGAACAAATATGAGAAGTCGCCATGTTTTTTTTTCTTGTTCTTGGTTAGGACTTCCCTCGAGATGATACTAACTGCGCATACTCACAACACACCGCTGGATATATAACACAGGGTGCCCAATTCAAAATGGCTGCCAACTTCAAAGCAAACTTCTTCGTTTAATATTTTTATTTTCTAACTTTAATTTGTGCCTAATTCACCTCATTTGAGTATACGACTCTTTAGCATCACATTGTTAAGTGATATGATAATTTCTTTATGGATTTTCGGATAGAATGATTGTATTTTGAGTGAGGAAGAAAACGACTATTGTAACCAGGTAACCACAAACCGTTTATATACAAGATTTAATACTCGTAACATGTCTGAAATAAAGAAAGTTGCATCCCCGATGGCTAATACGATGATGGTACTGGATCAAGGAGAGGAATTACTAAGGTTAGTATATATAATTCATGCTATTAGTCGTCAAATTCGTTGTCGGTAACAAAATGCAGTTTAGCATTGGATTTCTCTTTATCTAACACTTTCGCTAGTAAGTTTTGCTTTGTCTATAAAATCTTGGTATTTTTTAGTAAGTTATGGTTCTTTTATTCCTGCAGTAATTCCGAAACTCAATAGCTCTGAAAACAAAAGTCGAAAACAATTAATTTGAAGATAAACAATGCTAATTTTGATGACGGACAAAGAACCAAAGTAAAACAATACTGCATTGAACGTCATCAGGGCTTTACATGTTCCACTAAAATATGCTAAGTCATTTGTTTTATAAATCACATTTGTAAATATATGAATTAACTACAAAATCAAAACAATGACTAAAGCTTTCTTTGACGTCAAACAATAATCAGTCTAGCAAAACCGTACATCTTATAAATTATTGTAAGGTTATTTTCAATCGTTAATGTTTTTTGACTTACAGCTTGTTTTTAATTATTTAATAGGTCACCCTCTGGTTTAACAAGAAGGCCACTCAAAAAGGTATGGAGCAAAAACAAGACATATAGTAGTTTCATTTTCTTACTTGTAAGAGAAAAAGAAAAAAAAAAGAAGTAGATGAAAGGGAAATTGAAGTCAACATGTGGATAACCGCCTTTATCCCACATCATTGAAAATACGGCAATGAAAATGCAGCAAAGCCATTGTATATTTAGTGGTGTTGCACTCTTTCTTTCCAACAGGTATTGTGGTGTTTTGAATTTATTGGCTTGGTGTATTGGCAATAGTGCATAAGATAAAATAGTGAAAATCATGTTTAAAAAATCTTGTKGCACACCATGGAATATCCCACTTCATATGTATTTTCCTAGTAATCAAACACAAAAGCCTGAAAGCTTTTGACATACTAGAAAATGCAAGTGAAAATATGTGATATTCCATGATGAAAAGTGAAAACATTGTATACAGTGTAACGAGTTAGTAATATGGGCCACACTGTGATTAGCATTAAAAAAAGTTAAACTTAAAAACTTTTGTCTCTAATTTTGCAGGCAACATCTGAAGGTCTAATTTCACTCTCTGCAGGTAAGTGCCTCTATGCATGTCTCATATTTTCACCAACGCAGCTCACACTAGTTTTTAGCTAGTTATCTCTTCTTATATTTTCATATCACTTCCTGGCATTTGTTATATACGACTGACTTTTTGATGTTTTAGAGCCTGGAAAAGTCAAATTTGAAGTAGGTAACCAGACGTGGTTAGAATCAGAAGGGACAAGGTGCAGCAGTGCTGGACGTATTGAAAGAAAACTCCAGTTATTCAAGAAAAAGGAAGATTCAGAAGAACAAAGAAGAAACAGTACAGATGGAATATTCTTCAAACCACAAGGTTAATTTGTTTTCTAGTCACTATTAGCAGATTGTGTACAACTCTTCCCACTCATTACTCCCCATCCCCCTCATGTAGGGATACTGAAGTTCTGCAAGACAGGAAAGTATTTCCCTGCTAGCAGATTCTCTCTTCTCTTTCTCTCCCTTCTTTCTCTCCACCAAAACAAAAGGAAAATAGGCTCTGCTAGCAGGGAAGGAAAGTATGAGAAGGGTCTATAATTGCAATATTTTATAATTAGGGTCTATTGTTGCAATATTTTATAATTAGTATGTGTATTAAATAAGCTAGTTTATTGACTCAGAAATTGTTATAGTCTATATGATATACAAACATTATTATGATTTAGTTGTTCTCAATAGCTAGCTTGCACTGAATTGCCATCCTGATGAAGTAGGTTTTGGTGGACTTCAATCAAGCTATATCATTCCATGACATTCAATAAGCATTGAAAACTTTGTGTTTTCCAACAATGTCATGGAAACACTTTGATTGTATCATTCTGGGTAATGCTCTTGAAAACTGCTACAAGTACATGTATGTTAGATAGCTGTTGGCATGGTTTGACTTATGAATGTGTTCCCTTTATCAATCTTTTGTTCAAACAGACAACCCTCTAGTAACAAAAATAAGTACCATGAAAATCAGCTCTACGACTACAACAGAAAAGACTAAATTATTACAGGATGAGAAGCCATCAAAGGCAGGGAAGCATGAATCTGAAAGCTCAGAATCAGAGAGTGATTCGGATGAAAGCGAGTCTGATAACGAAGAGGCAAAAGAAAATGATATGTCTAATGACGAGAACAAAGAAATGGTACCTATAGAAATAAAAGCAGAATTTATCCAGTGTGTGATGAGCGGAAATTATACAAAAGCTCAAGAAACGTGCAAGCAAAGTAAGTAACTTTGGTAATAAAAGATTAAGAGAGAGTTCTTTTCGTATTCAAGCGGTGAGCGCCAAAAACTATTTTCTTTAAGAAATGCCGTTGTACAAGGCTAAATTCTTGTTATTCAGAAAGTTTAACTTGTTTGGAAGTGGAGATGATCGATGAAAGTGGAATCAAAATGTTAACCCAAAGCAAAAATTTGAAACAATTTGAAAGCCTTCATTTGCTTTTTCCCCATACATTTTCTATAAAAAGCCTGACAAAGCTACATTCTAACACAAATGCAACAAAACATCTTTGTACAATTGAAAATACCACTTCAAACAGGCATTTTACCATAGTACATCAGTTTCTAACTGTTAAAAAAGGTTTTGAGTGTTAACCCAAAACGAAAAGGGGATCCAAACTCATACGAAGGTCTAGTTTTTGGCGCTTTTTTGCATTATTGCTTGTTATTGAAAAAATTTCCTCAAACAAAGTTTTTCAAACAAGTCAATAGATGTCTTTTTGTGTTTTTAGTACTTTTGCTGGAGCCTGATAATGCTACTTGCAAAGAGTTCCATTCTGTGATTATGATGAAAATAGAACAAGGTAAATATTTAGTTTTTAATCTTTTTGAAGAGTCAATTTTTACCCTTAGGTTACGATGCACAAAAGTATGACCACATTTAATGTACATGCATACTAATGCATGGGTTCTGTACGTTAAACCAACACATTTTCGATGCAAAGCTGGCTGTTTTTACTTTTGCTTGTTGCGCTGTAAAATAAATCAATAACTGTTATACAAAAAATAAACTCATATTTCAAAAAACATCCTCTTCAACACGTTTTTTTCTTGTAGACAATATGGAGGACAGTGATGAAGATGATAGTGAAGATGATGATGATGACGATGAAGAGGATGACGATGACGATGGTGAGGATGACAATGACGAAGAGGAATCAAATACTAGCAGCAGTAGTGAAGAAAGTGAGGAAGATACTGATGATGATGAGTTCACTGTTGCACCTGGACTAAATCTTATCATGGGTGGACTGCCGATAAAACCTCAGGCAAAGTGATATTTGTTGACACTGTACTCCATATAATGGATCCATATATAATTTTCTAACACCTACATATAATAATTGTAATTATTTGTATGATGTACATAAAATACAATTTAATATTAGTTGACTGTTAAGTTTGTAATGCATCATTTCATTATCTTTTAAGTATTAAAGATTTTTATAGCAATCAGACTATGGAATTTTGCTTTTTAACAAAAGTATAAACGGGCTACTTTTGATTAACACATATTGGTAGCTTTCAGTAAGATAATGGCCATGGTAGAAGATTGTTCCCCAACAAAAAGGAACTCCAAAACATCCCTTATCCCTTATCCCCATTAACATAAATTTTAATTATGTTTTGTGTGTGTTTTCTATAGCATGCATAATAGTCTTGCACAAAATGCCTCATCTTTGAATATGAGCATGCGATAAAAAAGATTGCCCAACATGACATTCTCAATCTACCAACACCAAACTTAGGATACTATTATTAATAATTTTATAGCAGAGTTAAGCTGAACCCAATCTTCCAGTCAAAGCTACAAGAAAATTTTGTACACAAACTAATTTGTTCTATTAAAGAATTTAACTATGCAGATAAGCTTACACTTTATTATTAATAACAACTTTACATTAGTCTATCATTTCATGACATCCTCATAAATGTTAACAATCACTTCTTTAACTTTGCAAGTGCTTTTAAATCTGAACATAAATTCTGATACATACCAGCTGTTCACTGAACTATGAATTAAATGTGGCACCACTTTTTTTAAAAGGTTGATTGGAAAAAATCATATAACATTGACAATCTACACTCACCACACTTTTGATTGCAATGCCAACATTTACAATACTCCATTTAACAGTTCCATTCAGTGACCACGAATAATAGTTCCATGTCGAGGTTAGAGTTTCCGCGCATAGCGAAACTACAGTTTATCATGCACGGCAATCCAGCCCTCGGCTCGGAACTATTATTCGTGGTCACTGAATGGAACTGTAAAATGGAGTATTATTATACTAGATCATACTTTTGGCTTTAAATATTAGCGAACTAATGATGAAACAGACGTAGATCTGTGTGTACCATGGTAATACCATGCTCATCACAGGCTTGAACACAGATGTCGTCTGCTGCTGAACCTGAAGGACTAGCAATATAATGGACTCCACTCTATGAAACCAATAAACCAACAAGTCAGTAAGGTCATATACTAAAGAAAATTGCATCTCACAAGCTAAGTAATCAAACATTACCTGGACAGCTCTATCGATATTGTCTCTGAATGGAAAGAAGGCATCTGAACTCAAAGACACTCCCTTTAACTTGCTAATCCATTTCTCTCGTTCAGACTAAAGAAACAATAAACCAATCATTCAAGCATGCTTAGAGTGCTTTTTATGCTCTCAGAGCTTCAAATTTCAGAGGCCTCTTACAATCAAAACTTTTTAATGTGCCACTGATTGTCGCAGTGACATGATAATAGTGTTCCAATAAATGTACTTTTAAAAGAACACTGTAAATTATGCCCGACTTTGAAAATTTAGGGCATAGAAGGTGTGTAGGGCTATGGAAGGTGTGGGAAATGAAAGCGCTTAAAAATCCTGTTGTGATACATGAACTGTGATGGTGTCTCCAATGTCATATTTTTTTCCCACCCCAGTGTCACATGTACTTTTAAGAGAATTTGAAATTCATAGAAAACATTTTGAAGAAATGCCATTAAAATTCAGGGAAATGATTTTCCTTTACCTCAGTCAGAAGCTCTGGTGGACTGTCAAACATGTCTTCCCAAGTGGCCTTGTCATTGTCCTTTGGAAAAAATAAATAAGTTTACTTTTGAACAGAAGCAATGTTAAAAAACAGTATTACTTACCTTCCCTACTGTTCCATTGACATATACATCAATGGCATTGGACTTCTCTGCTCTCTTCACACCCTGGAATATAAACATGAAATTAGTACTCATAGGTACTTGGGCTTTCTGTGGTTTTAGTAGCATGTGATGGGTTCCCTGTGGATCATCTCCATCAATGCCTGTAGACTATCATTACAATATTTACATGTCAAGATTGGTATTTGGGATTTCTATGGTTTTAGTAGCATACATTGGGTTCCCTGTGGATCATCTCCATCAAAGCCTATAGACTATCATTACAATATTAATTTTACATGTCAAGGTTGGTATTTGGGCTTTCTGTGGTTTTAGTAGCATGTGTTGGGTTCCCTGTGGATCCTCTCCAACAATGCCTGTAGACTATCATTACAATATTTACATGTCAAGGTTGGTATTTGGGCTTTCTGTGGTTTTAGTAGCATGCATTGGGTTTCCCGTGGTTTATCTCCATCAAAGCCTGTAAACTATCATTACAATTATATTTACATGTCAAGGCTGCAAGTCTACCTTTTTAAAAGTCATTCCAAGAACTCTAGGATGGTGCCTCAGCCACCTTAAAAGCAAAACATTGAATATTTATCATCACCTACGTAGGACCTTGAAGTACAAATTTTAAATTTCTTGGGGAATAGTAAAAACGTTTGTCAGCCCAATTCCTGCTTAAGACCATCATGTGCACCCACTGCTATCAATGTCATTGACAGTATGAGATAACTCACAAAACAGAGCAGCCTCTTACCAGTTGTTAGCCTTATCACCAGCAAGTCTTGTGCAGTGGATTCTAGACTGTTGACCAGCTCCAATACCAATGACCTACAAAAAACAACAACTACTGTAACACACTACAATATAATATAGAAAAAACAAGGATTATAGAGAAATGGTAAAAATGTTATATAGTACCTGTCCATTCTTGGCATAGCAGACAGAGTTAGACTGAGTGTACTTCAAGGCTATACTAGCAACTATCAGGTCTCTTACTGCATCTGCTGGCAACTGTGGACCACAAACATATACATGAAGCCTGTACTAATAAGGTATAATATTTTGTAGTCTGTAGTCTCAGCCACTGTACATTGGTTAGAGCTATACACTTTGAGGTCATACATGGACTGTATAGTCAGTGCTACAATGCCTTCATTTCAACCCAATTAAAGTACAGGTCCACCGTTGCATGTACTTGCAGGTAAGATTATTGCAATAAACAGTGTTTAATATAATTTGAAGGTACTCAAAGGTTATATTTGTTATTCCATTGCATGACAAAAATTAATTAAGTGTCCCAACTACTGTCTACATGTTGTACTTACATATTTTATTTGCTTGGTTTTTATATTCTTAAAAACATTTTCATCAATTGTGCAGTTGTTCCTAAGCTGTTCCAAGTGAAGACCAAAGATTGTTCTACTCTCCATGGGTGATGGCTCATAGTTTGGATCCATCTACAACACAGCTCTAATCAGTATGGAGACAAAAGTTGAAGGAACAAGGAGAATAAAATTATCTTATTTTATTACCTGCAAAACACAATATTTGCCACCCTTTTTCTTCTTAAGGACTTCAAGTGCTTCAGCATTATAACCAGGTGCAATAATTCCATCAGATACCTTAAGACAAAAAATAATGAATGAATCAAAATGGATAGGATTTAAACCCTTGAAAAGATGGGTGGATGAGATTGATTTATGAGTGGCTAGATAGATTATAAATATATGGAGATTGGATAGATAGATGAATGCATGGGGGTGGTGACTGAATTAATGAGTGAATGAAGGATATACAGGCTGTAGATTGGCAAGTATGAGAGAGGACTAATTGGTAAAGGGAGGGGTGGCTGAATGAAATAAAGAAATAGGCAGGTAAATGGATAAATGGAAGTGGAGAATGAAAGGTGGAAAGATCAAAGGAGGACAGTTGAATAAATGAGTTGATACTATCTTATCCTACCTCCCTAGAAATGATCTTTGCTGTTGGCAGATCACAAGTGTCTGACAAGGCCACCCAGTCACCAAATGACGACATCCTATCAGCAGCTCTAGCCCTTGCATATGCTATAGCCAGTGGAGTAAGATCATCAATCATGTCATCCACCATTGCAACTTTAGCCTCCTCTGGTGTGAGCATCACGCCAACAGCAGCCCCTGCTGGGCTAACATGCTTGAAGGATGCTGCTGCAGGAAGGTTAAGAGACTTTCGAAGTTCCTAAATAAAAATGCAAAGACAAGCATAAGTGTATTGTGACCTCACACTGATTATGACCAAAACTGTGAGTTTTTTTGAGAGCAATTCCTTCAAATATGGAATTTTCATGGAGAGGTTGGGCAAGGTCATGCTGTCAACACTGAGGGTGAACTGGAAATCAATCCATTTGATTAAGGTATTTCAAGATGATGAACCTACTTTCTCATGGATCTTATCCCAGTGCATGTAGAAGCCTTAACATTACAAGATTAATACTACGGTTTTCCATAATTCTGTGAACTCGGTATTTGCAAGCTGCACACTTAAATTTCATTTTTCACTGCTGGCAATCAAACAATTGGTTGGTACCTTCTAAAATTCTTGACTGGCAGCAGTGAAAAACCAATTTCAAAACAAGCTGTTGAAATGTCGGAGTTTGCAGAATAGAGCGTTTTCACTCACGTGAGAAGGCAGCCATAAACAATAGAAACTTTCTGCACAGTATTTGCATAATTTAAAATAGAGTTCAATTCCTGGAGGATAGAAAATGTATTGTTTTGGTACCCCATAATGGCCGCTGTGATGTCACGTGAAAACGCTCTATATCAAAAACTGCATTAATCTGCAAATCAACAACTTGACTAAAAAATAATATGAAATGTATACAAACCTTGACGAGTTGCCAGGAATTGAAAGCATCACACAAATTGATAAAACCAGGAGATCCATTAACAACCTTGACTGGTAACTGAGGTTCCATGGTGTAAAGTTGTGCTGGTTTTTGATGTGGGTTCATACCGTAACGCAATGGGATATGAGACACCCCTTCACTGAATTCTTTACGAAAGTAATCTGAGATAGCCAAGTCATAACTGGCTGTATGATTAAAAGCCTACAACAGATATAAAACACAAACCAATTTAAATATCAAGCTAATGCATTGCTAAGGAATTTGTTTTGCTAGGGTCCATCTTCATTAAAACATAGAAATATGATTGCAAATATATTCATACCTTTAATGCTAAGGATTTTCTAGTATCAGGCAAAACCTCTTGAGTAGGACTTGCAGACATCTCTGATACAATTCTGTAAACAATTGTATTAGATCTCAACAACAATAAGGATTAACATATTACATTATTATGGATAATTTGGAAGTTAAATCTCCATGATAAACAATGATTAAAGAATTCTTACAGGTATAGTAAGCGAAAGAGTAGAAAAGGTGTTCGAAAGGTAATCCAAACACCAGGATGTTGATAGGGTATGAGCAGGTTGTTGGTAGGATGTCATGTGACCCTAAACCATGAAATTTAGGAAAAATTAAATTTGAGGCCTGCAGGCTTATTTTCCTCATGCTAATGCAATGAATGGTGTCTAATAGAAATGTAGGGTCTAATGTGCTAATGTGGGGCGGCCCATTGCTATGCAGGCCCACATATGAGTTCATCATACAGAATTCAACGACTCTTGTTGGTAAACCATCTTTTTGCCCCACCCTCCTCTCCCCGGTAAACGTATTACAGGTGAGTATAATTTCCACTGACTGCAGTCAGTTGACCGAAGAAAGGTGGTGGACCATGGGTGGCTACCATAGTAACCTCCTTGATGGGGACAGCCGCTTCCCTTGTGGAGGCATTTGGCACCTGCAGTAGCCAAACCTCATCTGACACTGAGTTTAAAGTTTATTATACTTTACCAAAAACAACTTACTTGTCATAATCGTCAGGGTCGCATACTACTGTCACCCTGGCATGATTCTTGGCTGCTGCTCTCAGTAACGTCACTCCACCTAACACACACAAATTAATATAAAATATAAAATAACAGCAATATAAAAAAGATACATTATTAAAATGATCATATTATTACCTATGTCAATTTGCTCTACAGCATCAACTACTGTAACTCCTTCTTTTGCTACTGTCTTCACAAATGGATACAGATTGCAAACTACAACTCTAAAAGTGGAAGAAAAATGGCTTACTTAATACCAACAGATATAAATACTGCTAAACAAGAAAAAACAAAGTTTTTCATACATACTTTATATACTCATGACCTTGCTTTTCCATATCAGCCTTGTCACTGTCTGTTATCCTAGCTAAAATACCTATAAACAGAACAAAAATTTCAGATATGTTATTTATATGCAACATGGAGTAAATCTTAATTAATATTTAACACCCTTGGGGCTTAGACATACCTCCATGTATTGCCGGGTGTAATGTCTTGACTCTACCACCCAACATTTCAGGTGCATTGGTGATCTCAGAAACATCCCTGAAACAAAAACAAGAATCAGTGAATAAAATACTATATTTCATCTATAAAGCCCCCAGCCTTTAACAAACCCCCAGTCTAAGTCTAAGGCACCAAAAATTAAATAAGCTGTGTGGCACTCCCTCTCCCCTCTCCCCTCTCCCCTCCCCCCCTTAGCACAGCTGGCTTGAGCTGATGACTCGAGCAAGTCCCCCCGAACTTCCATCACTACAATCTGCCAATCCCCAAGTGCTTTATGACTGCACACAGCACAGCAAGCAAGTTTTTTATTTCTTTTATAAAATACAAATTACCATAATAGATAGGAATGACGCAACTGAAAGTGAGCGCTCGTGCAATGTGCTCTCATAAAGCACGTGCTCCAAACTAATCAGAACGTGACATTCATAACAGTTATTTTATAACAATCCTTAAAAAATTACCTGACTGGAATATTAGCAGTTCTGATAGCATTTGCTGTTCCTCCCGAGGCGATAAGCCTGAACCCACAATCATGAAGTTTCTTGGCAAACTCTACAAGACCTTGTTTGTTTGATACACTTAGAAGAGCTGTCAAAATTATAAGAGCATTAACATATTCAGAAAAATTCTACAGTATGTATATCGTATGTATGGTCAACCATATTTTTTTCGACTTTTCTATCTCTGTAATATGTATATGCCACTTGAACAAATTTCAGAAATTTGGACTTTTCTGTCTTCGTACATATAGGAGTCGAACAATTCAGATATTTTTGCTTTTTATAAGCTTAACAGTCTACCAAGTCGTCCATTTTGAAGAGAACACATAGCATTGAATTTCTATTAGGGGAGGGGTGGGGGAACACACAGCGCTAGTGCCCAGTGTTTGGGGGAACACATCACTAACTTGGTCACTGAACTCAGCACCCTAGCTACCCGGTGCAAAGGAAATTTCATTTTATTTACAATACAAACACCCACTTCCCTCCCCGTAAGGTTTAAATTTGAAACCATTCCCAAGCCTAACAGAGAGCTTAACAGCTCTTCTGTGCCGACCCTTGTCTTTAATAACGTTTTTCAAAGTCGTTGGTTGTGAAAGTTAGGAGGGCTCACGGCTCAGTCCCGTGAGCTGGCTCGAAGTTATTGGTATGGATTGATTGCAAAAAAACCTCTCCACGGCTCTGCCAAGTGATTTTACGATAGGAATTGTTTTTCATGAGGCGAGTGTTCAACCTTCCCATTTATTTTGGAATGGGGCTTAAAATGACTCAAATTCTCCCAAAACTGGTCACGAACATTATCAATGGACAAAAAAAACACGCCATGGAAGAAAGGTTAATTTTATTTAAATATTTCCATTGAATAACGGTATTTAAAATATCTCCATACATTGCCTTATAAATATATGACACAGAGCTTGGGCTACCTGTGAACATATAACATGGGGGAATACGAAACGCTGTGACAACGGAGATGGAAAAGTCGAAATTGCTGAATTGTTCGTATATATATATTACGTTATATAAAAATTAAAATATCGAAGATTTTCATTTTACTTGTACATATATATAAATTCAGAAAATTTCTAAATATATCCCAAATAATAAGAATGAAATTATGAATTAGAATTATATTGATGACTTATGCCAGAAAAACTAAAGCAAGAAGATACTCCGCGTGAACTTTAACATTTTAGGTTCATTGTTTTGATATTATGAAGAAGAAATAATGATAAAACAAGGCCATAACTCACCTAAATTTCCACCTTCGCTCGCAGCCGCCATATTATCGACTTGACCCTTGCTCCACGTGCGTCGAACTACGAGAGGGACTTGTGCGAGGGGATCAATAGAATCAATCTAATCACAGGTAGCCCAAGTGTTGTCCTGTTATAAGGAAATGTATGGTTCATCAAAAATTTTAATAAAATCATTGAAACGTGAAATAAAAAACGTGAAAAATCTTAAAACGGGCTAAATTCAAAAAATAACCACGCAGAGCGAAAGAAGTACTATTTCTCAATGATCGGGTAAAACTTCGAGGCTTTATTTCCTTATAACAGGACAACACAGAAACCAAGCTTGGGCTACCTGTGATCTAATTGATCAAAAGATTCCCGCCAAAATTGCAGAACTTCATTAATCGGAATGTAAAAGAAAAGGCATTTATTTTTCTTTCGAGGACTCTTTCGAGTTAATAATAATTTATTTACCCTGTGTATTTCCATATAGTTTTTAGTAAGAGTTTTTAAACGAAAAGATGATAGAGATTTCCAAAAACTGCAATTTTGTCCACTGTTTTACAGCAAGTTTTGTTTTGAATTTTCAATGATTTTCTTACATTCCATGTAGGGGTATTTTTGTACAATATTTTAGTAAAAATGTCTAAATAAAAAGCTAGTAATGATAAAAAGGTAAATTATACACCGTGAAAAGATGAAAAAACTTACTGACGTTTCGGACCCCTAGTCCTTCGTCGGAGTAAAAGACTCCGACGAAGGACTAGCGTCCGAAACGTCAGTAAGTTTTTTCATCTTTTCACGGTGTATAATTTACCTTTTTATCATTACTGTTTCATTAGAAACACCGACGCAGCTCACACTAGTTTTTAGCTAGTTATATCTTTAAATAAAAAGCTGATAAGGGAGCGACTTCCGGAAACAGGTGATTTGCATAATGTATGCAAATATGTAAATGATAGTTACCATATTTGGGTTGCTGTACGTTGAACATTCAAAATGGCGGACAATCTGTGACTTTTTAGCTTTTATAGTTTTTACTTAGTTTTTAAAAAAAGTCGTATGTTTTATAATGAAGTTGAATTAGGAGAGGTAACGGCAGAATACATTTTCCACCATGGATGAGGTAAGTAGGTCTTGTATTATATATTTTTGCGTTTTCTTTTATTGTTTGTTGTTTTGACAACAAAACTTGTCCTTTTGTTTACAAACTAATTTGTCTCAAACTACAACGAATTGGATTGCATTGTTCAAGTGGTTTGGTAAATAACTACCCTACAATGCAATATAGAAGCCTAGCATGGCTTCGAGTTGGTTTCTTAGTAACGATCAGATCAGCTGTTGTAGACAACGGGACCGAATTAATAGAACAAGGTTTTTATGAGCTCCATTGATTCTTCACTTCTGCTGTCAAATCATTGAAATATCTAGCCTGTTTTTAATCAGTTATTTAAAGCCGTAGATATCATACTTATTGGCTTGTAAGTTATAGCGAAGGTATTTATGAATAAGAGTGGTGTTTCTCGGCATGATGCATGTGATAACTTGATCAATCACTTACACTAATGATACTATGCTATACTACTTCCTTCCTTTTTTGACCGCAGAATACCTCTGACAGCAACATGCTGACAATCAGTGGTACTTATGGAGATATCCCAGGTACAGCTATCTTGCTCTCCTGTATTTTACTATCAATCAATCATATCTGTTTTTCTGTTTCACAATTTCAATCTATATAAGAGTTTTCAATTTCGTTTTGCAGATGAATCACCCCATGAATCTCCTAGAACAGTAAGTAATATATTAATAAAAACTTGATTCATCTAAGAGATCATAGCATTAGTAGCTAATTAAAAATAAATAAATAAAGAATAAATTGACTTTATTTAATGAGGGTAACATACATTACTGGTGACCCAGTAGTTTCCATTATGGCCCTCCTACGATTAATAAACTGAAATGAAAGATTAAATGAACATAAAGCATGTTACGAATCCCAACTGGCAAGGAGGCAAACCAGTTGGCTATTGACAAGCATGGTTGAGAAACTGAATCTGAACTAATCAGGAATCGGAACAAATACAGTCTCAGCTAGTGGCCACAGCGGGACTCGAACCCGGCACCACCGGATTGCGAGATGCTATGACCACTCGACCATGCTGCCTCCTTAAAATTAAACTATAATTACATGTATGTCATAATAACATTATTATCCTAAATCAATTCAATGATGATCGATGATTTATATGGTCCAGAAAACTAGTTGAAATCCTATACTCAGATTCAGGTCACAGTAAATATTTTGATTTATAGCCTATATAAACCCAGATGTGTGTTCTGGAGTTGTCTTTAATTTATAATTGTCACATGACAATGGAAATAGGTGTAACATTATAGTATAAGTGCCATGCAGTTAGTAGATAGATTTCCTACCAATATTATATCATTTAATCCTTGGCTATATATCCATTCATGTAGGTTCCTGGCTCAGTCATGAATTACAAAACTAAGAAAATCTATAGTTATTAAGTACATGTCATGAACTGAAATCATGATATATATTATAATGGTACCTCAATACCATTATATTATTTGAAAGCCATTTAATAGCATATTATTATTCTCTGTAATTGTACAGAGTGGTGTTATTTCTGATTGGTCTGAAGTTAATCGGCAGCTACGTCACCATGGTTTTCATCCTGTCATGGTTCTACCTAGAAACAGGATTGACCAAATACCCAAAGGTAAGAAAACAAAATAAGATAGCCTGTTTTACGAATGGAGTGCAACCATATGACTCAAAATCCCTTAAGTTTAGGTATAGGAATAAATGAAACAGTGCATATTAAGTTTTGTTTATCTAACAAGAGAAGCTACGTATACTGTCATGAAGGCCATTGAACTCCCTGAAGTCAACCTTCAAATTTAACCAGGCTGATCAAAGTCAAGGCAAAGCTGCCTGGCTGCTCTAGCTGGTCTGCTGTGAGGCCTCTAAATAAAAGATTATCACTGTTTTCAGGTGCTGTTATCCTTGAAGAACACACGACACAGCATCTGCGGCACACCCTTGAAAGTTTKATGTCAGACTGTGATAGAAGACAAGCACTGGTACAGGAACTGATTTCAGCATCCAATAGAATGCAGTGAGTTACATGTACAAGTTAGAATGAATAATTATGTATTGATTAAAACCACCTTGTTATTAACTTAAGAGTGGCTGTCCGTAACGGTCGAGAA